TATATTACTCTGCCTGGCTTTCTCAAGGACCAGGATGTGACACAAAAATCTAAATTATGGAACTGAAAGTGAAAGTAGTCAAACTCAACAAATCAAATGAACACCTGCTCCATGATGCAGACATGTTGGAGGTGTTTTATCAGCTCAGGTTGGCTCAGAGACAACCGAGCTGCCAGAAACCTTTCAAACACACGTCCCGCCCGGCACTCATTAACTCTCACTGAGTCGATTATAAAACATGGAAACAATAAATGTTATAAATCTGCAGGAGTTTTACGACTGCAGGCCCGTCGTTACACAACTGAGCTCATCGTAAAACCCCTGAAGTGTTGTGTAACGTTCAGCACCGACACTGCTCCTGACTGCTCATTCAGCTTTCTGCTGCTGCTGGTTGAGATCGACTCAAATTAATCCTAAATAAATGAAGTCAGGTTTAATTTATAATCTCTGGTTTTACTTGAAACAGCATCGACGTGCCTGCAGCTGCACATCAATCACACACATCACAGCTTTAATCAGCCAAGAGTAAATGTTGCCGTTTATCTAAAGTGTCTGTACATACAGGCCTGCACACGTCACGCCTGATGACCTCCTGTTTTGGGGGTGGGGGGTGGGGGACAAGCCCCTGCTCCTCAGCCAATCGAAACGAGGCCGGTGAGCACGTCATGCTGCAGCCTGACGATGGTGAACCCTGAACTTACATCACTCACTTCTGTGGGCCAAAGTCACAGATTTTGAAACGATCTGCAAGAGGTTATACTGTCATTACAAAAACTCTAACTCAGCGGAAATTTAACTTGAATTATCTGAACTGCAGCATTTAAAAAAAAACAATTTAATGAGTATTTAACCTTTTAAGCCCCAAGGGGTTTTCTTGAAGTTTTTGCTCTAAATATCGTGCTTAAATGTAACTGAGTGCATTTCAGCATTTATAAACTCTACTTAAATAATCTTGGTACCAAAATAAAAGTAAAACTTGGGAGATTTCATCATTCATGTAAGTATTAAAACAGCTGCTGTTGTTTTACAGATATTGGGGATGGAACATAATTTTTAAAATTTTGTTTTACCTGAATAATTTTTGCATTAGACAGTATTTAACCCATATAAAACCAAAATGAATCAGGCTAAAAACTTTTGAAAACCATAAATCCACTTGTGGACATTACCTGTGCAAAGATTCATGCTGCTAAAATGAACTGGAGCAAAGTTACAGAGGTTTTAGTAAAGAAATAATTTAGTGTTTTGTCATTCTGCACAGGACAGACCATGATGGTTCCATTAATAAAGGTTAAAAAATCTGAAGTTTTTTAAATTGCAAAGGTTATTTATATTTTCTTCCCTGCCTGAAAAGACTTGTTACTGAATGTTTGTTCTTTTGAAAAATTATTCAAACATTTATTTGTCACCATCTATATTA